TATAAAAAATGCTTATTTTAAATAAATGTTAGAGATTACTTAGAAATAGCCCTGTAAATACAAAAGGATTATGAGGTATGTTGCAATGGTATTAAACATTGTTTTCACTTCTCTTTAGTTTTCGTTTTGCAATTACATGAAAAAGCAGAAGGAAAAGCTAGTTAAGCAATGTAGTCTCTTCTTTATGCGAGTGCCCATTATTACAACAGAATATTTCATCCCAAATGACCCCCACTATAAATAAGATAATTGTACACTACTATTTAGTGCTTATCCATGATCAGGTCTCATACACAGTAAAATAATGGATGATTAAGCTGACTGCACTTTGCTTTTAATAGTTTAATTTACATGTTTAGACAATCATGTTGTAGTAAAAACTTTATGGAACCATAGTGCAAGCATAAATAATGCATCTTTACAGATTTGCAGCAGGTAGTAGTGAGCAAGCTTGCGTGCTAGCCATACCTGAGCTGCAGTTTAGTAAAATGTATGTTAAGCTCCATACCTCTCTCAGGTATAATGCAAATCTCCTAGGAGAGTGACACTGCTGACCAGTAAACACATTTCTTTGCACTGCAGTCCACATGTATAATGAGTGTGCAGGTGACTTTACACAGTAGCAACTCGCTACTCACTCAGGTAATATTTTTAAATTCAGAGCGTGGAAGGTGTGGTGTCTAAGGCCCTCTCTGTCACAGAGGAATACATGTAGTACAGGCAGACATGGAAACATGGTGCCATTTCAATCCCCTCTCACAGCAGAACATAAACAGCTGAATTCCAGGAAAGACAGCAAGTGTGAAAATACATGCAGACTACAGATTTCACAGAAGCATAGTCACTGGTAAGTAATCTTTTCATTTTTACCTTCAAAACTGTAGTCTACCAGTAAGCTCACACTGCTGGAGACTCCTAGTTGGAATGTTCACATCATCAATTTGCCTGAAGAGGGGCCCAAATCCCTTCACACAAACAGCAACTACAGGTGTCGTGCCACGGGATTTTCAGATGTTTTTACAACAGTGTAAACTTAAAAATAGGCACAGCTCCAGGTAACTACTCAACAGGTTATCCAGTACAGGGCTACTTCACACAGATTTCTGATGCATCTTGAGCTCAGGTGGAATGCACTGAGGACCAAAGGTGGCACCCACCTGAGCAGCCTCATGGTTTTTGGAACAAGATGATCTCCACTTTCAGGGTCTGGGCAGAGAAAAAAGCCCTTTGGAACTCTTGGATATTGGCACTATTCTTGTAAGCTAGTATCTTAAAAATGCCTTCCTCATATGTCAGGTGTAAAGGACAAGCAATTCCTTGAGTACAGGAATGAGTTTAGGGAAAAGGAATGCCTATGTGGTTTTGTGATGTAAGGGGAACTCATGCTATTTTGAAATAAGATTTAGCATGGTCTACAAGCATATCACGCCTAGAAAGACTGGCAAGGGGCAAGGGGAATGAAAGGTGGGATAGAGGTGGGGAGGACATTAGATACAGAAGTGACTGGTCTGTACTCCCCCAGTGTGCATTTCTTGTTGATGGCCAAAGTAAAAAGACCTATCCCGAGATGCCCTGTGGCCAATAAGAGGCCTTCAATACACTAAACAACACTTCTTCCTCTCAAAATAACTCAGTCTACCTCTTGAAATGTTCAGAAAAACCACAAGGTGAGCTGCTGACTGAAGTACTTCTCAATGCATCAGACAGATTGTTTCCTAGCAGAATATAAGCAATATTGCACCATCCTTCTTGCTGACAGAGTATACAATAGTTCTGTCCATCATGAATCATGAATGATACCCTTGGATTTGAGAATAGAATTCTTTGCCTGCACTCTGCTACCCTGAAAGCCAACATATGTACGTGAAGTACTTGCACCAAGGGTTATTGACTCTGGCTATCAAAGGTTTCCATGTAAAACCCTCACCTTGACTGACATACAGGCATTATAAAATAAATGTCAGAGAAGAAAAACACAGGTGGATTTTGTCATTGGAATAGGAATCATCTCATTCTGTGAAACAGGTCTCCGGAAATACGTAAGTGCACGAGTGTAGGCATATCTGAGAGCATTTTCTGGAAGGGGACATTACCTAGGTGTTCACCACCTAGGACTACTGGACATGAGTATAGATATGCATCCAAACACACAAACAAGTCTTTCACCATTTGAAAACTGAAACTACTAGGTGGAGAAGCCCTTGGTGGTATTAAGCCTTAGAATTTCCCCAAGGTATGCTATGGACTAGACTGGGTAAGGTGACACTTTTTTTTTTTTCTTTTTTCCTTTCTTTAAAGCCTAAGCTCTTGACTGCAGAGTCATGTGGGGAGTTTGCAGGAGTTAGATCACCAGAGTGATCCAACCAGAGAAGGAACAATATCTCACTTTATCTGAAGTGATCTGTGTAACCACTACTTCTGAAGGCCTTCACTCCTGTGGAGAATGCAAGTGGCAGGGCACTGTAATGATAACATTTTTGATTCATGGAGGAAATTTTCAGTGAAACATCATTACGTCAAAAGAGATGTTCTAAAGGGCAAGACACCAGCCAGTCTTCCAGCCAAGATCAGAGATGGTAAATCCTTCCCCAGATCATCTTAAACTTGGAATTGCAGTTGCAAAGTTCTTTTAAGTCTAGGATAAGGATTCAGCTTCCTTTCATTAAACAAGGTCGTACTGCCTTTAAGTGCAGCACAAAGGCAATAAGACATGAAACAGATTTATGGCCTACACTTTTAGGCATGACATCAGTCTCAGAAGACAGACATCTCTGACTGGTGTTGCAATTGCCCCATTAGATAATTATGCCAGCTAGTAAAGGCAGTAAAGAACATTATTTCATTTTTATTGAAACAGATTGTAGGGATCCTTAACACAAAAGTTACCTTTTGTCTTGATTTTCCCAAACAGTCCTTATCACTGGCAAGAAGTTTGCTGTGTAGGTGAAGTACTTGTCTAGAATTCGGTATTTGCTGTTGGCTTCCAAACTAGACTTGGGTGGGAAACTGGTGAAAACCTAGATATTTGATGTTCTTCATCAAACAAGCTTCATTAACAAGAAGGGTGACCGCAACTGCTTTAAGACAATGCAGAACACAGAGATGCAGCTGGCTAAGATTGGGTTGTACAAAGCATCATCTATCCTCCTTAGAAAGTCTTGAAAAACTATATAGTCATCAGCAGACTGAGTAAACTAGGTCATTCTTGGATCCAAGAGTAAGGTCAGCATTGGAAATGGTGCTATTTGTTCTTCACATTTCTATGACAGCACGTTTCCTCTTTCACCACTGAATAGGATGGGTCTCAGATAGCCCCTACAGGCAGCATAATCCCTCTCGGTCTAAAAACATGAACATACACAACTGCCCGGAGGAAACTGTTTGGAAGAAAAGCATTTCACATAGAGGGTTAGTTCCAAGTGCTTGTGGCAATGAACTGGTCAGAGAGAGAGTGGCTGAGGAAACTTGAACAATGTCACGTATGACAAGAAAGGGGAGAACCTCTTCCATATGAGGAACTTGTATCTTCACCAGAAGGTGCTACAGGGTTCTTTAGAAGAGTCATGCACCTTAGCACCTGCTTTAGAAAGGGGGGTCTGAACTTCAGCATTTTCTTTTGGTGTAATCAGCAGAAGTGAGAGTCACAGTCTGAGGTCGGTATCTGGACTCAGCTCAAGGCAGAACATCTCACAGCAAAGAACTCTAAGACCAAACTGGCGTCGGCATTTTTAGAGTTAACCCAATGGTGGAAGTTTCCACTAGGGCATAGGAGACCAGTCACTATGACCACAGAAGAACCACAGCCTTCACCCTGTGGTATAAATCTAAACAGAGTGCTTTCAGAAGACAGTAACATGTCAAATTAAAGGAGAAAAAGGCAACAAAACCTTTTCCCCAGATATAGAACACTTCTTCACTATAGGGCTTTTTGCCAAAAAGCAGACACTCTCAGTGTGGGAGAAAGGTCCATAGATAAAACAAAACCTCACATTGGTGGCTCAAGACTGCAACATAACCTTAGAAGAAATTATTGGCATGTTATTCAGTTTAGACCGAAAAACATGCCAGGAGAGTTGGTGGATATCAGACATTTCAGACTGCTATAGTGGCAATCAGGAAACCAGGCCACAGCTCTGGCCACAGACTGCAAGGGTCAAAACGATGGCCCTATACACCCATCTGCCCAGAGTGAGAGAGCACGACGGGAACATAATCTGCCTGGCTGCAAAGGTCTTGGATCTGAATGATAGAGCTTATATACATCCTAACTGTGAACATACACAGAGATTATCACTTGACACTAGAAAACAAAGATACTGAGGAAGGGTATCACAAGGGAAATACAGGAGAGTGTATTAACATATGTAGGTAAAAATCGTGCAAGTTAGAAAATTTTGGTATTAACCATGTTTCCAAAAATACCATCAAGGCCACCAGACTTTCCTGCCATACATTAGGCAATATAACATCTTGTTTTGTTTTTTACACATAGTATCTACAAGTCAATAGCAACATATATTGCTATGTCATTAAAGGGGAATCATTTCAATTGAGCATAACAGAGACAGGCAATTACAACTGTGCACAGTGCTCACAAATGTAAAATTCTTGCACGCTAGCCACTGAGATACACCAGCTATTATCGCTCAGTGCACAACTGAATGAGAACAATAACCAAAAACATAGCGAGGTAATTTTAAAACACAGTACAGCAAATCCTGCTATTGTAACAATTGGTCTACTCAGAACAGCAGGCTGCTGGGCATAAATCAGTACGATCAAAGATGGCTTTAAAGCCAAACTATTTTACTGCAGCAATTTCTTGAAACAAAGTCAAGCCAATTAAAAAAAAATATTGCTTCAAACTACAGATCGCCGATACCTTTGCAAAAAATGCCAACTACCTATCAAGCAGCAAAAAGAGCACTGGCATTAGATACATTAGATGAAAAGCAACCTATCAGTTCCTTTTTCAAGCAAGCATTCATTATAGTCTGTACCTGGCTGATATGTATGGCAGAAACCTGGGCAGAACACACAGATGAGTGGCTTGGAGAGTTTGGTAGAGATTTGCAGGGTCCAATTGAGAGTTGCTGTTTCTTCCTTGTTGCAACGATCTTCTGAGCAACTGAAGAAAAACAAAACATACAGGCAGGTAAGCTATAGTACACACTAGAAAATATGGTATGTCAGAAATACACAGAAGGCACAATACACAAAACAGGGTTTTCCATTGCCAAAGCCTGCTCCAAAAATTGATTGTAATACATCCAATTAAGATGACAGATGCTGGTTGTCCACAATATGCTCCATGTGAGACTCCAGCTCTGTTCTCCACATGGATGAAATTGCTCCAGAACTCTCACTCCACCAGGTCAGCACCAGAGAACCAGTAACATCCAAACAGAAGGGGAAAAGGCAGGCGTAAAAGTTACAAAAAGCTATACCAGGAAGGCTATAACAAGTGCACTATATGCTTATAATACCACACTAACAGAGCTTATGGTAGTACACATTTTCCACTCTTCTTTGGGATGTTCTCCTTGAAGATAGAAGAGAAGTATGAGCAACACTTGACTAATGATCTAGTTCAAGTTCATCTCAGTGCTACTTAGTTGTACAGTCCTGGAAGGTGTCCTGCATCACAGAATGACAGTTCATTAGGAAAGCTATTGCTCCCAGTCCAAGCAGGTTTAGTTTACAAGAAGGCGTGTTCTCTCTGCTGCTGAAGAATAAGGTGGACTTTTCTTAATTGCTGGCCACTGCATCAAGACAATCAGTTTTTGAAACCACAAGTTTAAAGCGTTTGAAACAAATGATAATCGGAATGATAAAACTGATAAAGGGTTCCTGACACAGAATACCTGGATTAGTGGTGCCACACATCACACCCCATTCAAATTCATTATGGAAAGAAGCTATATCATGATTTCTAGTTTTAGCTTTTGTTACTTAGCAGCACTAGCACAGTGGGAAAAATGGCAAATTTATTTTGCAATTTATTAAGAAATTTTCTATGACATGTAAAGAAAAGCAGCATTTATCAAACGGAGACAGGGATCAGAGTCATTAATATCTCTATATACAGCTTAGCAGACTTACAATAAAAATTGGAAACAGAGCTGATCTGAAATGCAGCAACTTCCATACCTCTCCCTATAACTTTTCAATTTAAAAAAGTCAAACTATTTCAGAAATTCATTCTGTGATACATGGGAATTTCAGTTCATTCCGCTATTCAGCTAAGGCCTTTGGAAAGAGCTCTTTTTAGGTCATAAATACTTAAAAATAAAATCCTTTACACTGTAGTTGTTGCCTACCTTTTGGGTCACAAATTAAAAAGTAAACAAAATTTCATCAGTCTTCAGAAACAGACTAGTGTAGTGGATAATCAAAAATACTAATAACTAAATTTAGCTTCCTTGCACGCAGTAATATTCATGAAGTGAAGCACTTCATGAAACTTGTGCAAAGGATTTTGTAGTCACTTGCACCGTCTCCACCAAAATCGGTCAGTGAAGCAGAATGGCAACAATTATTGGCATCTACTTAAAAAGTCACACAGAAACTTGTTATAATTAGACTAAGAGCATTCAATCTGTCCTGTTTAGAAAATATAAAAAGATATTTATGTAAATTCCAAGATTATTTTTCCTCAATACATTATAGCACAGGCAGAGATATTGTTTAGCTGTGTAAGCATGCAATTTCTTCTCAAATGAATGCAATTTTAATAACAAACTGGTCTGTGGCTTATGTTTTTCATGTAAATGAATGATGGCATAACCATGATTTAGTGAGAATACATTGTATAAAAAATGGCTCGTATATATGAAGAAGCAGCTTCATTAGTTACATCCCACCTCCAATAGGCCTCTTATCATCCTGAAAGGATGATATCAATTAATTTATCTTCCCCTGGCATATTGATCATAACCTTCATCAGCTAATCATGTTTAAATTACAGAGGAATATCGTAGCACTCTGTCATTTCAGACCCATTGGTTTATTGATCTGGAGCCTGGAAAGCCATATATTAAAATATTTTAAAACATATTAGTGAATGCAGAGAGCAAACCGAAGATCAGATTTTAACATATGCACATGGATTTGTCTTCATCATATGCAGTAAAGACCTAAATTAAGACCAGAACTGAATTAAAACCACACATGAATGAAAACTACCTTCTCAGCAAAAGCCTCCACTCTCACACAGGAGAGGTAATTAGTCAAGGAAAACATTTACCTCTTTCCTTCAATCTGAATATAGGTGTGTTTGTAGCATCACATTAACATCACATAATGCAGTCTTGCCAAATTATCACTCTAGGAAGGCACAAGGAAAAAAAAAAACCAAGACAGTCTGAACTCACCTACTCAAATGCATGACCTGAATGCTAAGCTAAGTACTACAAAAGCAGACACTAGAAAAATAAATAAATTCTAAAAAGCAAAAAAAGCACAAATTGTCACTCTAGAAATGTGAAGAGTAATCCACAAAGCAGCTGGAAACTAAACCTTACACAGAGCAGCACAAAGGGTAATTTATCCTGTGCACTGTAAAAATGGCAAAATTGCAGCAGAAGACCTAATGTTACCTACTTAAAACTGTGCTACAAATTGTAGGATAGACCATTCTTAGCCTCAAATTTCTTAGCTGTTCCCTCCGTCAGAAAAATGATGTGCCCCCTAATGGAAATCCCCTTCTGAGCTGCCAAACCTTCCCAACTCCCCCTCCATTTCGGCAACAAGTCTAATATCCCCCGCCAGAGCACGATTCCTCCTGCCTCTCCCCTCTCTTCGTTAGGCAACCTGCTCTCCTTTGAGACACCAAACAGCTTTTGCTTCTTTCATTGCAGTCATGTAGCTGTCACTCCGTAATTAGATTGCATTCAATATTCAAGTGCTCAGGGCTACTTGCCCTTGGATATGATGGTGATACGAGCTTCAGAAGTACCTAAAGGAGTACCCTGACCCTTCAAAGTTTGCAACATATGAAAGACGTGACTGATCATCTGTGGGGCAATCGCTGGACTGTCAAAAGACCTACTGTGCTCTTTCTAAAGCTACCTTGAGAGAAGAGATGAAACCTAAAATCTTGCCCATCAGAAGTCAATAAAAGGGGTGCAGCACATATCTCCTCAGCAGTGTTGCTGCAAATTCACATTTTCTACATCTTCTATTCCAGAGAAGAAAGCCCTGAAATACACAAAACTTAAAATGGCTGGCACTGAAAACCCCACAGATCTGCTAACTCCTGCTGCTGACATCTTCAGACACAGTAGTTAGGGAGGAAAAAACCCACAGTTAAATGGTTGTATAGCAAGAGAGAAATACATCATAATTACAAGAACACCAGATCCAGAGAACAGCCATGCTATATTGCTTGTTCAGCCCCAAACCCATTTCTGTTATTACATCTTCGTTAGGACTCAAAGTGATCACTCATTAGCTGCTTCGCAGTGGTAGGAAAAATCCTTAAACCAACACATTTTGTTTCCACAACTATAACTATATATAAGTTCACAATGGGTTTATGAGCAACTTTGTGAGAGTATGTCAAAATATATCCAAAAGCGTGATTTCCCCCTCCTCCCCCCCAAAAGGCAGTACCACCACCACAACAGTTTAGGCAGCTGAGTGGCTGGGTGGGACCTCTACTAAAAACATACAGCAATAAATATTGCTCTTCAGGAATGCCTGATGTAAGCTGCGGTGGTACATAAACATCTTTTTGCTGTTAATGAAAGCCAACTAGTGTACTTCATTAACCAATTTAAGGCTACTCACAGTCAAAATCTTCAGATTAATATTGAAGTGCCTGTAATTGAAATGTCAGTCCAGAGGAAGCTATGCAATTAAAACAAACGTTGTTCTATAAAGTGAGTAGAGAATGCAAGAAAGCAGAAATATTTTTGCCCCAGAGCTTTCAGATTCCATCTCATCCCGAAGACAATTCAGTGCTTCTGAATTTAATGTAAATATACTTGCCAAGATATGTGTCTAAAACAGATGAATACTGACTTAACCTATGTGGCAGATATCAAAAATAATCAAGATAGTGACAAGCATTTAAACTATTTTTTTAAAGTCAATTGCATTCTCTCTACTTTTATATACTCAATTAAGCTATCAATTTCAGAGAGATTTTTATTGTAAGCCATCTATCTGTAGTATGAAAAGCTGAACAAAATTTATCTGCAAAGTCAAGAACTCTTCTGCAAATAAACAGGGATATGCCAAGGCTATTTACAGTTGTAAACCAGCAGAATTGATGTTTAGCAAATATTTGGTCTTTGGGGAAGACTGATGCTTATTTCTTATACATTTAAACTTAATTTCACAAGCCAGAATGACTAGAAGTTATATTTTGCTTTAAGGCCTTGTTAATTAAAAGCATGTGAAATTCCTGGTCTGCAAGATGAATAAAATGTCCAAGTCTAGAGAGAAAGCTCTTGACTTGAATGCCTCTTCTTCCATGCCTGACCTAGCTCACCAAAACAAAATTAACCTTCCCACCCCCTGCCACTTTCATCTCAAATGCTACTTTTTGTTAGTCAAACCACTCATTCGTAAGCAGCTCCTGCTAATTTCTCGCTGGATTGTTTATTGGAAGGACTGTACCACTAAGCAGGAAAGCTCAGTGGTCTACCAGTCTGAGCTGTAAAGCAAGGTTTCACCACTCCAGCTCAGCAGATCTGCATTGCAAACCACCACCATTTCCATTTGCAGATAGAAAAAATTACCTGTACACTAATTCTCACTAAACAAAGCTCTCCTATTCCGCTCTCAAGGCATGGGGCTGACTATCAGAGGACTAAATTCACTCGCAGGAGGAACAGCAGGTCAGCTCCTCTCCCCGAAACCCAGAGCTGCGCCTCCATAATGAACCGATTCCTCTTTGTGCTCCGTTTCAGAGCTAATCACCATTAGAAATACTGTTGCCAGAGTAACTGCTCTGACAGAGTTGTCTTTCCTTGGTTCAAAGGGCTGTTCACATGTCAACTTCTGGTGCAGTGCGAGGCTGCTTTGGCAGGGGCAGCTGGGTCTCTCAAAATCTCATTAGCACAGCTTCATTCAAGTATAAGGACAAGAAAGGCAGAGACCTGGGGGGAAAAAAACTCCTTA